CTAACGACGCCCGTCGGCGGCGACGCGACTACTAACCGGGCTAATCGGACGGCGCGCTCGTCGGCGGAGAGTGCGGCTCCGCGCGGATGGCAGCAGGCGCTTCGCTCTGTCGCAGCCGGAGTCCATGGCGAGCGATGCTCTCCGGGCAGCACGGGTGTTCAGTGGTCTCTGTTGCAGCCGGAGTCCATGGCGAGCGGTGCTCTCCGGGCAGCACGGGTGTTCAGTGGTCTCTGTCGCAGCCGGAGTCCATGGCGAGCGATGCTCTCCGGGCAGCACGGGTGTTCAGTGGTCTCTGTTGCAGCCGGAGTCCATGGCGAGCGGTGCTCTCCGGGCAGCACGGGTGTTCAGTGGTCTCTGTTGCAGTCGGAGTCCATGGCGCGCGGTGCTCTCCGGGCAGCACGGGTGTTCAGTGGTCTCTGTCGCAGCCGGAGTCCATGGCGAACGATGCTCTCCGGGCAGCACGGGTGTTCAGTGGTCTCTGTCGCAGCCGGAGTCCATGGCGAGCGGTGCTCTCCGGGCAGCACGGGTGTTCAGTGGTCACTGTCGCAGCCGGAGTCCATGGTGAGCGGTGCTCTCCGGGCAGCACGGGTGTTCAGTGGTCTCTGTTGCAGCCGGAGTCCATGGCGAGCGGTGCTCTCCGGGCAGCACGGGTGTTCAGTGGTCTCTGTCGCAACCGGAGTCCATGGCGAGCGGTGCTCTCCGGGCAGCACGGGTGTTCAGTGGTCTCTGTCGCAGCCGGAGTCCATGGCGAGCGGTGCTCTCCGGGCAGCACGGGTGTTCAGTGGTCTACTGTTCGCAACCGGGAGTCCATGGCGGAGCGGTGCTCTCCGGGCAGCACGGGTGTTCAGTGGTCACTGTCGCAGCCGGAGTCCATGGCGGGCGGTGCTCTCCGGGCAGCACGGGTGTTCAGTGGTCTCTGTCGCAGCCGGAGTCCATGGCGAGCGGTGCTCTCCGGGCAGCACGGGTGTTCAGTGGTCTCTGTCGCAGCCGGAGTCCATGGCGAGCGGTGCTCTCCGGGCAGCACGGGTGTTCAGTGGTCTCTGTCGCAGCCGGAGTCCATGGCGAGCGGTGCTCTCCGGGCAGCACGGGTGTTCAGTGGTCTCTGTTGCAACCGGAGTCCATGGCGAGCGGTGCTCTCCGGGCAGCACGGGTGTTCAGTGGTCTCTGTTGCAACCGGAGTCCATGGCGAGCGGTGCTCTCCGGGCAGCACGGGTGCTTAGCTGCCTCCAAGCAAGCAAGCGTGACCGGTGGTCGACGGAGAGCCAAACGTGTCGTAGCCGGAGGTAGCCAGCGCACTCGGTGTTCTATAGCGAACCCAGCGCTGTCACCTGTCTCCGACAAGCCCAGGGCATTCCATAGCCCATGGGCAGTCCACAGAGATCAGCGGTCTTTAGGCAGCCTCGCGCGCACGCGGACAGCTCGGCTCGGGAGCTGACCCGGGCTCGGCGGCGACCAGCAGCCGACCATGGCGACATTCCAGCCGCGATTTCAAAGCGCCGCCGCCGCTCGGCGCCTTTGTGTGGTCGCACAACGGCTCTCAATTTTTGCCCCGGAAGCTCGCTTCTGCGAAATACCTGCCTCCGCTACGAACCAAACTATTTTAATCACGGACTGTGGCCGGCGGCGCCACTGCACGTAGAGCAATATGAATTGCGGCCGATTTTAACATCGTCGCTAGTCCGCTTTCTCACGTGCATAGTACGGCTCCAAACAGCGGAACGTGAACGCCGCCTGTGGTTGTAGGGTTTTTAATTGATTTGCAGAGAGCATATTACGGAGACTGATTCATCAGCCATGCCTGGTCGGTCGGTGACCAGTGCCGCATTGTCATGGAACGTTGGAGAAGCAGTCGAGGCATGTATTGTTTCAATTTATGGCAACATTATCGCGGATCTGCCGCCGGCAGCCGCCATTAATGCCCGTGCCGCGGTCACGGCCCCGTTTCATGACAGCTCCTAGTCGAAAAAGCCCTCCTCTATTAGCCGAAACACGATAAAACACTTAATGGACAACTCGTTGCCAAGTCAAGCTGGCTGAACGATCCCCTAACCGTTTGACTGATTGATAATAACTCCGATTTCACGCTCCGGCTGCGACATCCAACCAGTGCGGTGCGCTAGACCGGCGCCGGAACAACGCCGCCCCTTTACACGATTAGGTGCACCGCATAATGAGCGGCTGCCGCGCCGCCGACCGAGCCGCGGCTGGCCGTCGGCGCGCCGCGCTGCGCCGCGTTCGCCTCGTTACGGCCGACGGCCGGCGGCGCAGCGCTGTGACTGCACGGTGCGTGCGCCACAAAAACTGGCCGCCCCGCCGCCGGCCGCAGCCAAAATGGCGCCGGCCGCGTCGGCGCAGCAGAAGCTCGGTCGACGGAAACGGCGCCGGCGGCGGAGCCGGTCCCGTCCGCGATCAATCGGGGCTGAGGCCGCGACGGCACCGATCCGTCTCCACCGTCGACAGCGCGCCGAGAGAGCGCCAGAGGGCCTGCGTGAGGCAGGGAGGCAAACATCGGGAACAGGCTTTTAGACCGGTTCTGTATTTTTATTCACGTTTTAGAGTGATGCCGTTTAAAGCTTCCAAAGCTATATGTGTAATTAATGTTCTGAATTCTCGAACGTTATTATATCTTTTTGAGGCCTTATCTTTAAGTTAATCTAAAAAGGAACTTTGCTCTGTTTTTGTAGAATTGAATGTGGCTACCGAAATCCGAACATTTCCTTGAGCAGGCACTGCATGTGAGCAGATCGCGAAATTGTTGTTTGGTGTTGTTTGAAACCTCGCCCGCATCATGCATTACCGCCGTAAGCTTTATTGCTAACAAATGGGTGAAACATGCAAATTGCATTGTGAAGCAAAAGATGAGCCTTTCCTCACTTGCTGTTCCGGAAGTAATTGACGTGCTGTTCCAGAACTAACAGCACAGCTGTTTACACAGCTTCCGCCCACACTCTACTCCGGCAAAAGTCAACTCCAGTTTATGTAAGCCGGCGGCTGCCGTCCTGGTCCGGCTTACGTATTTGATTTATTTTGTTGACATTTTGCTGTAGATGTCAATAATTCAAATGAATTACATTCGGCTCGAGTCTTACCTTGTGGACACCCAAAAACATGCCTAGCTTCAGAGGAAAGA